TAGTGCCGGCACGATTGGCAAAAATGTATCCAACCTTGAAATCAAAATGCTGGAAGTGCAAACAAAAGAAAGGAACTTTTTCCATATGTGGTGGCAATGTATAGAGGTCAAAAAATATTGGAAGAAAATACAGAGATGGCTTTTTGAGATTACAAAATATAAATTGAAATTGGAACCCGAAACTTTTTTATTAGGTATGATTAAAGGGAATTTGAGTAAACATAAAAGATACCTTATTGTACACATCTTAACTACAGCAAGAATCACGTTAGCACAAAATTGGAAGAGTGATAAAATACCACCAGATGAAGTTCTGATTCAAAAAATAATGGACTGTGCTGAACTAGATAAATTTACTATGGAACAGAAATGCAAAGAGGATCGAGAATACTATGCGACATGGGAGAGGTGGTACGAATGGGTGAAGGATAAGGATAAAAATAATGTATAGTCAGAAAATAAGAAACATGTATGTACAATGACACAATAACTGTTAATGGAAATGAGATTTTTGTATTTTTTGTTTTTAAAGAATAAAAAAAAAGATCTCCCAGTCTCCTGGTGATTGGCCCAAAGTCACCTAGCTGGCTTTCATGGTTAAGGCGGGACTAGAACTCCCAGTCGCCTGGTGATTGGCCCAAAGTCACCCAAATGAATTTCATGCCTGAGGTGGGACTAGAACTCCCTCCCAGTCTCCTGGTGATTGGCCCAAAGTTGCTCAATTGAATTTCATGCCTGAGGCGGGACTAGAACTCCCTCCCAGTCTCCTGGTGATTGGCCCAAAGTCGCTCAATTGAATTTCATGCCTGAGGCGGGACTAGAATTCACTGTCTTCTGGTGATTGGCCCAAAGTCACCCAGATTCCTTTCATGCCTAGGGCAGGACTAGAACTCACTGTCTCCTGGTGACTCAGTCAAAATCACCCGGCTGGCTTTTCCACCTAAGGCACCACTAGAACTCACAGCCACCCCTCCCCCAGGAGAAGAGCAGCTAGGATAGGGAGCTCAGCCTCAGAACCTCCCTTTGGCTCAGAACTACAACTCCCATCATCCCCAACGGTGGCAGGCCAAGCCTTGCTAGGCCCTTCAAGATTACCCCCCCCCCCTGTTTTGGGGAGCCAGCAGCCTTCCTTCCCCCAAAAGTCTAAGGGAAGGGTCCCCCTGGGACAGAACTACAACTCCCATCTTCCCACATGGGGGCAGGCCAGGCCTTGCTAGGCCTTCAGGACCAATACCACCAACACCCTCCACAATTGAGAGGAAGGTTCCCTCTGGGCCAGAACTACAATATCTATCATCCCCCAACAGGCCAAACGAGGCTTTCAGGACCACCACCTGCCCCCATTCCTCACTTTGGGGGGGAGCCGGAAAGCCCCCCCCACCCCACATTGAGGGGGCTAGAGTACCCATCATCCCCCACTGGATCAGACCAGGCCTACCTAGGCCTTCAGGACCCCCCCCCCCAACTCGAGGGGCCCACAACTCCAACTCCCATCATCCCCCAACCAGAGCAAACCAGGCCTCGCTAGGCCTTCGGGACCCCCCTAGAACTACAACTCCCATCATCGCAAACCAGGCCTCACTAGGTCTTCAAGACCCCTACAGACCCAGAACTTCAACTCCCATCATCCCCCAAATAAGGCAAACTAGGCCTTCGGGACTCCCCGAACCCCATTTCGGGCGGGGGGGAGCCAAAACCCCTCCAGACCGAGGGGTCGGGTCTCCCCGGCGGTTAAAAGTCAGCCGAGGGGGTCCCCCCTTCCCCGTTAGGGTGAGCCCCCGCCCCCACTCAAGCCCGGCCTTTGTTCCCCAGCGAGGGGAAGGAAGAGGGAGCTCAGTCCCGCCCTTCTCCCAAACAGGCTCCGCCCCCTCAGTTTCGACTCCTGGAGGGCCGCTCTCGAGGGAGGGAGGGGAAAGAGCAGCGGCAACGGCGGCGGCTGGAGGGGATGTTGCAATGAGTTGCGCTTACCCAACAGAGGCGTCCGGCGAGCGGCGAACGGCGAGCAGGCACGCATGCGCGGAGCCGCGGCCTTGCCAGGGAGGGCGAGGCGGGGAGGTGACGGCTAGCGCGACCGGAGAGAGCGGATGCGCAGCGAAAGGAGGTGGGGTTGTTTTTTTTCCACTCCTTGCGCGCGGCCGGCCAGGACAGCAGCGCCCCCGTGCGGCGGGAGGAACAAGGTGCGAGGGCAGGCCGAGAGAAAGGGTGTACGGGGGAAGCCGGAAATCGGAACCCGGCAATCACAGCGGAGTTCCGGAAACAAAACAAAAACGCAGGGAAAAGTAAACACGTCCGGGGGCGGGATTTGACGTCACAGGCCTAGTTTCTGCCACCCCTTAAGACCCCTCCCCCTGCCTAAGGCCCACCCAAAAGACCCCTTCTCGTTTTAAGCCCTCCAGAAGCCCCCTCCCCTTGACTAAAGGCCCCCCAGAAGCCCCCTCCCCTCGCCTGAAGGCCCCCCAAAAGACCCCTCCCCTTGCAAGAAGCCCCCCCCTTCGGCAGATGAGGCTGGAAAGCAAGCCCCCTTGCACAGTTCCTAATAGATACTCAACTTACAGCCATCCATTTAGTGACTGTTCAAAGTCACAGCACTGAAAAAAAGTGACTTGGGACCACCTCTCCCACTTACCTGTCACAGTATCCCTGTGGTCACATGATCAAAATTCAGAACACTTGGCATCTGTCTCGTGTTTACAATGATTAAACTAATCTTAGAAGAGTAACTAAGATGATTAAAGGCTCAGAGGCTAAAACATACCAAGAACAGTTGCAGGATTTGGGTTTGGCCAGTCTGAAGAAAAGAAGGACTAAGTGGGGGAGGGCATGATAGTAGCCTTCCAGTCTTTGGGGGGCTGCCTCAAAGAAGAGGGAGAGTCAACTTAATTTTCCAAAGCACCAGAAGGCAAGACAAGAAACGATGGAAACTAATCAAATATGAGAACCAACCTGGAATTAAGGAAAACTTCCTGTGGGAACAATTAACCGGTGGAACTGCTTGCCACAGTAAGTTGTGGGTGCTCCCACACTTAAGAAGAGACTGGACAGCCAGTTGTCTGGAAACGGAATAGAGCTGTGATGGCGAACCTATGGCACGCGTGACGGAAGTGGCACGTGCAGCCATCTCTCCAGGCATGCCAGCCATTGCCTGTTGCTCTTCCAGTTGCCGGCACATGTATGCGCACCGGCCAGCTGGTCTTCATGCACACATGCATGCCGGAAACCGGAAGACCAGGTGGCTGGCACACATGCGTGCCAGAAACTGGGAGCTGAGCTTCCCGGCGTTCCTGCACGCACACACCGTGGAACTGCTTTTCCGGTTTCCAGCACTCCCCTGCATGCGCGCACTCCCATTTCAGCACTCAGTGCCAAAAAGGTTCGCCAACACTGGGATAGGATCTCCTGTCTGAGCAGGCGGTTGGACTAGAAGACCTCCAAGGTCCCTTTCAGCTCACGCAGGAATCGTGGTTTTGTGGGAACCACTGGGAACTGAGCAGCTCAGAGTTGGGATCAAAAGTACCATGCAGCCAATAATGGACATAACATTGCATTGCTTTCTTAATCACTATTGAATGTCTTTAACTTTCGAGATCCTCCGATGGGCAGGATCAGAGAAAATCACTTGGTGAGTCCACCATCTTTCTGGAATGAAGAAACGGACGGCTGGGGAATTCTGAGAGTTGAAGTCCACGCGTTTTAAGGTGGCCATCTTTGGAAAACACCGATTCAAAGGGAACGTTCCATGTGTCCACCTTAGCTACAAAATCCTCTCCTCCCTCCAGAGAAAGGATTTTACAAAAACGATAACATCTAATCAATGTACCAAAATGTACTAAAAACTGAGACAAAACAAAATATAAGCCAGAGGCCTTCCATTGGCAATCCCTCCCCCCAAGTAAACATGTCCTCAACTTACAACTGGTCATTTAGTGACTGAAGTTACAATGGTACTGAAAAAAGTGAGTTATGACCGTTTCTCACACTTACGACAGTTGCAGCACCACCATGGCAGCACCACCATGGTAATGGTAATGGTAATGGTAATTCAAACTGACTCATCTTTATTGCAGTATCCCTATGGCGACCATGTGACAAGCAATGCCAGAAGTTGTGGGTGCTCCAACACTGGAGGCTTTGAAAAAGAGATTGGGCAACCGTTTCTTGGAAATGTTTCAGGATATCCAGCTTGAGCAGGGTTGGACTAGAAGACCTCCAAGGTCCCTTTCCACTGTTATTCTGTAAGGGTCTCCTGCTTGAACAGGGAGTTGGACTAGAAGACCTCCAAGGTCCCTTCCATCTCGTCATTCTGTTATTCTGTAAGTCTCCTGCTTGAGTAGGGGGCTGGACTAGAAGACCCCCAAGGTACCTTCCAACTCCGTTATTCTGTTAAAGTCAATGGGGAAGCCAGATTCACTGAACAACTGTTACTACCTGAACAACTGCAGGGATTCACTTAACAATTGTGGCAAGAGAGGTCATACGATGGGGCAAAGCTCACACCCCTATCTCCCTTAGCAACAGAACATTTGGGCTCACTTGCTGTCATAAGCCAAGGACTACCTATATCATGCACAGAAGGAAGCTAAAATAAGGAAGGCTGAGCTGTATCCTTTTCTGTAGGCGTCGCTGAAGACTCTGGGATTCTAGGAATAAACTGTTCCGGGGGCTTCCCCGCAGCCCATCATCCCCGCTACCGACGGCTCTGCCCTTCCCGCCAGTATTTTGGGGAAAGGTGAAGGTAAAGGTTCCCCTCGCACATACGAGTTAGTCGTTTCCAGCTCCAGGGGATGGTGCTCATCTCCGTTACAAAGCCAAAGAGCCAGCGCTGTCCAAAGACTGGTCACATGGCCGGCAGTTTTCAAACTGCTAGGTTGGCAGAAGCTGGGACAAGTAACAGGAGCTCACTCCATTACGCAGCACTAGGGATTCGAACCACTAACCTTTCTGATAGACAAGCTCAGCGTCTTAGCCGCTGAGCCACCGTGGCCCCCTGTTAATAGCCAAAGGAAAGAAAGCCAGAAGTTTAAGCAAATGCTTACCAAATAAATCAGGCTGCACATTTATTATCAAAAAGAACAGAATGGGGAGGAAGCAAAGGAAGCCAGAAGCTTGGAGAAGATAGTTTGTGTCCATCAAGGTTACAGTGCTGGAAGAGATGAAGGTTAGTTGAGCCAGAAACCCATTACTGGCTTGGAGGGAGGGACCCCGATTCAGTGCTCCATTGGGCAGAGGTAGGTATCTCTGCAGAAAGTCCTTCACCCTCTCCTCAATTAAGTCCTCTGTCCCTGAATACCGGGGCTGGCTTTGGGGGGGAAGGGGGGGCAGGAAACAGGGACTCCCCCTCACTCCCCCATGTGTGTCCGCAAGTGATACTTGAGTGACTGCTTGTAACGGAAGCACTTGGCGCACTCCGTACATGGGTACGGCCGCTCACCCGTATGCGCACGCTGGTGCTCGAGTAGGTGATGCTTCTGGGTAAAATTCTTCCCACACTCGGCACAGTGGTACGGCCGCTCGCCCGTGTGGATACGCTGGTGCTCGAGCAGATGGTGCTTGCGGATGAAACCCTTGCCGCACTCGCTGCAGGCATGGGGCCGCTCACGGGTGTGCACCCGGTAGTGGTTGGTCAGCTTTGACTTCTCGCTGAACGTCTTGTCGCACTGGCTACACTTATATGGCCGTTCGCCCGTGTGAGTCCGCTGGTGTCGCAGCAGGTGAGACGGCCGACTGAAGGTCTTCCCACACTGAGGACAGATGAAGGAGAGCTCGGTTTTGCCGGCGTGCACCCGCTGGTGCATGGCCAGTGAGATCTGCAGCCGGAAGCTCTTCCGGCACTCGTCGCACGAGTACGGGCGTTCGCCAACGTGCGTGATCTGGTGCTTGCTCAAGCTTGACTTGTGGCTGAAGCTGCTGTTGCACTCGCTACACTTGTAGGGCTTGCCGGGTGGTGGGGGTGGCTGAGGCTGTTGCTTGAAGCTATGCTTGTTAGGGTACGGCTGTCCGCGGCGGGGCGGAGGAGCCACCCGTCGCACCGTGTGCAGCCGCTGGTGCAGGAGGTATTGCTGCTTGATGCGGAAGCTTAGGTCACAGGCGTGGCACTCATAGGGCCCCTCCTTGAGGTGGTTACGCTGATGGATTATATAGTTGATCCGCAGCATGAAGCTCTTGCCGCAGTCCGGACAGATGTACGGCCGCTCACGCGTCCGGTTTCGCTGCTGCAGCATGACCGGTCGCGTTTCAATGCTATTGTCTCTCTCACAAAGCGGGGCGCAGATCCCCACGGTGGGTCGGGGTGGCTTGGTCACCCTCTGTTCCTCCTGGAGAACCTCTACATTGCAAGTCAGCGAGCAGGGCGGCTCGACGTGGGACGAAAACAACTGCCGATTCTCCAAACAGACAGGGTCTTCCTCCTCCTCCTCCTCTTCCTCTTCTTCCTCCTCCTCCTTTTCCTCTTCTTCTTCCTCCATTTTGATTACGATCCCGTCATCTTGCAAGAAAGACAGAAAAGCAAAACAAAATCAAGGGGGTTGCATGCAGTAGCGTGCGGTGAGAAAACCATTTATGGCTCAAAACTTCTTGTGACAGGCAGGAGGATGAATCGAGGCAGTTGCCATCCTTGAACACAGAAACTCTGTAAAACATTCCAGATTCTCTCAGAGTACTTAAGTACTGGTAGTCCTCAACTTACAACCAAAGCATGCCTGCTGGGGAATTCTGGGAGTTGAAGTCCACCCCTTCAAAAGCACAATGGAGAATGCTGGGAATTGAAGTCCACCCTTCTTAAAACACACGGGCTGGGAAATTCTGGAAGTCTCTACTCACCCGTGCAGTTGCTGTGCTGCACAGTAACTCTCTTGATCTCACCGAAGTTCATGTCATACTCGCTTCGTTCCTCCAGTTTGTTGCCAGCGAAGTTTCCCAGCAGGGTGGCGGTGCTGTAGGGGCTGCCGCAGGGAGCTTCAGGGTCCAGACCCTGGAAATCGCCCTCTGAACTGCCAGACAACTGATGCGGCTCCAAGTCTCTGGGACATTCATCGGAATGCGGCTCTTCCGTTTTGATCATGACCCTGATGCCAGCTGCAGGGTGGAAAAGGTCAGAAAATATTCGCTTGGTCCAATACAGCTGGTTCTCACGAACATACGACAGTTTGTTTAGCAACTGTTCCAAGTTACAAACGGCCCTGAAAAAAGGGAGGCAGGGGCCGTTTGCACACTTAGGACCATTCTGCGGATGTGGGGGATTCTAGGAGTTGTAGTCCACCCTTCTTAAAGTTTGCCGGCTGGAGGATTCTGGGAGTTGTAGACCTCCCCTATTAAAGAATGCCTACTAGTGGATTCTGGGAGTTGTAGTCTACCCCTCTTAAAGCATGCCTGCTGGGGGATTCTGGGAGTTGAACTCCTCCCCTCTTAAAGCATTCTGGCTAGGGGATTCTGGGAGGAAGAAGAGAAAAGGAGAGTAGAAGAACCCCACAGGAAGAAAGAGTAAGAACAAGGGCACAAACAGAGGCAAAGACCAACAGGAATTAGTGAGTGGTAGCAAAGAAGAAAAATGGAAAACAACTTGAAAATACTATGCGTAAATATAAATGGACTTAATTCTTCAATTAAAAGGAACCAAAGTTTTAAGAGATTGGCAAAACGAAAAATGGATATAGTATGCCTCCAAGAGGTACACATCAGAACCCAGGATAAAAAATACAATTTAAAAAATTAGGAAAACTGTATGCAGCCCTAGCAGAAGAAAAAAAAGAGGGACAGCAATATATGTCAGAAAAGGACTAAAAGCAGAAGTATTATATGCAGATCTAATAGGTAGAACATTAATGTTGGAAGTTTTTCTGGAACAGAGGAAACTATTATTAGTTGTTGTATATGCACCCAACAATCAACAAGAAAATTACTATAAAAATATTCATGAAAAAATTCTAGAATTAGGTATTGAGGACATTTGTATGTTAGGGGATTTCAGCGCAGTCGTGGATATCAAAAGGGATTATCAAAGTACTTATACAACAAAGAAGAAAAAGAACACCCTTCCAAAAACTTTTTTTAATATGGCAGAAGAACAAAAATTAATAGATATTTGGAGAGTACACAACCCAAAAGAAAATCGGTTCACCTTCTATTCTATTCCCCATAAATCATGGTCGAGAATTGATATGGCCTGGTCAAGTAAAACTTTAGTGAATGACATAGAATCAGTAGAAATAGCACCAAATGTATGGACAGACCATAACCCATTAATAGTAACATGGAAAGGTCAACAAAAATGAAGAGGGAGATGGACGTTGGACCCACAAATTCTGAGAGAAAAAGAATACTTAGAGAAAGTAAAAAAGGAATTAGAAATATTTTTTTGAAGTAAACATAAAAGAACATACATCCTTACAGAATTTGTGGGATACAACGAAAGCCTATTTAAGAGGTTTAACGATAGCATATAATGCTAAAAGGAAAAAAAAAAGAAGGAATACAATGAACTACAGGAGATTAGAAATTTGGAAATACAAGCGCAAGTAACACCAGGGAATGATCAGATTATAGGTAAATGTAGATTAGCCAAACACAGATTGAATATTTTAGAACAGGAAAAAAATTTAAGGGCTCTGAAATTGGTAAAACAGAATTATTTTGAAATTGCAAATAAGCTGGGAAGGAAGGAAAAAGAAAAAAGATGGATTCAGCAAGTACAAGATAAGGACAGAAAGGTACAAAACAATATGGAAAGGAAACAAGAAATAGCACTGGGGAGAGAGGGCGGAGCTGGCGTCGTGACGATATGGCATGCGATCTCGGAGATCTGAGATCGCAGCCGATATCTTTGCTCCTGGACGGTCCAAGTGGATCTAAACCGTCCTGAAGAGATGGTGAATGTAAAGAGCGCATCCTGTCAATCCCAGGGATATCGCAAAGCCCCTGGTAGATCCAGGAGAAGCTCTTTTTGCCAGCGGCAAAGAGGCAGCCATTAAAGCTGCTGAAGTTGGGACAGCTCCGAAACAAAAGAGAACGGAAAGAGAGAGTGTGCCAGTTTGGTGAGAACTTTTTCTTTATTTTAAGACTTGAAAGGACACCCTAAGGCAGGGGTGGGCAAACTACGGCCCGGGGGCCACATCCAGCCCGTTGGTCTTTTTAATCCGGCCTGCCGAAGATTGGTACAGAATTAAGGTTTGATGTGAATGATTGAATGATTGCATTCATTTGATTTTGACTTGTAATGACAGGCATTTCGACACCAGGTGGAGGCCCGTCTGTCAAATTTTAAAAGTCAATGAGGCCCCCGAGCCAAAAAGTTTGCCCACCCCTGCCGTAAGGGAAAGAAAGAATCTAAAAGTTTTGACAGAAGTGATTAAGCGGCAATTTTAAACAGGAATGTCAAAGTAATATTATTTTTTCTCATTGCTGGATTTTCTACACATGATCTTATATATTGAAACTGGACTGGGGTTTTCTTTTTATATATTCTTCTCTCCGTTTTGATTTTATACTATTTTAATCCAGAGACTCCCTTTTAGTTATTTTTTAAATATCTTTTTCTTTTTTCTTTTAATTAATTCTTATTATATTTTGCTTGGAAAAGGAGGGGGAAAGTGAAAGCTAAAGAAACTTTGTAACACTGCCAACTAGAGGCTTGGAAATATTCTATTTTTCTTCCGACCAGACAAAGCTGAGAAAGAACTGAGACTTTGTTTCAAGGACATTGCCTGCTTGATAAGATAGAGGGTGCTCTTCTGGGTTTCTATCAACAGCTGGAGTCTGGTGTTGAAGCTTAGGAAAAGAAAAGGTGATAAGTCTTTGGAGAAGAGAGTTATAACAAGAGCCTTGGATAATCAACAAAGTGCAATGTGCTCTTTTTATTCTTTTTAAGCTGTGCTACCCCTCCTCATCAGTTTACTTTTTTTTTGCAATAGCTATTTGGATTTTTGGCTCTCTGGAACTTGTCTTTGTTTTTGTTTTTTTTCTTGTCTTTGGAAGTTAAATTTCTATGTCTGCTTTTTATTTTAAAGGAAAAGCTTTAGTATTAATGCTTCCCTTCCTTTTCTTTTTAAGGGAGTAGCCTTTTTCTTCTCTTTCCCTTCCTGGTATTTTTGTCTTTCCATCTACCTTCCATATTGTTTTTTTTTTCTTTTTCTTGGTTTATTTTAGTGCATACTTTTATATTTGAGACGTCTTAATTGGATTAAGGTGTTGAAGAACCTGAAGAATTTTTCCTTTCCTTTTTAGCCTTTTTCTTCACTTTTTCACCTTTTTTAGGATTTTACAGCTTTTTCTTTTTTGTGTGTGTTCATGGTGTGTTAATGGTCTTTTCCTTCATTTTTGAATTTTTACTGTCATCTAACCAACCGATTGGATTAAGGTATACAAGAACCTGAAGAATTTTTTTCTTCTTTTTCTATTATTATTACTATTTGGCTTCTCTCTTCTTACTATTCTCCTACTTTTTTCCTAGTATTTTTATTTGGAACTACAAATGGTTATTTTACAACTGGATTAAGGTCTAGAAGAACCTGAAGATTTTGAACTCCTCAAAATGAGTAGGAAATTAACAGCTCCTGGTTCTTCAACTTCCACTTCTTCCTCTCCACCATCTGGAGGACAACGTTCAATACAGACAATATTAAGGCAAGAAAAAGAACAAGAAAAAGTGATCCTGCAGATGATTATGCAAGGAATTCAAAATATTCAAACAAGATCAGAGAATATTGAAAAGAGAATAGAGAACATTGAACAAAGAACAGGGAAAACTGATGAAAAAGTGGAAAAAATCCAACAAATGATGATGAAGTATGATGAGAGACTCCATAAAATTGAAGAAGATAAACAAAGAGACAAGAAGATTGGAGACATTGATAACAGATTAACTGTGGTTGAACAAGATAAAAGTGGTATGCTGAGATGGGAGATGGACAGATCAGAATTTTATCTTAGATTCCAAATCTAGCTGAGATAATGATCGAAATATTGGCTGAAGCTTTGGAAATAACTGAAGAGAAGATGATGGATGGAATAGATGAGGTTTATCGAGTCTTCACAAGATACGCGATGAGAAATAGCTTACCAAGAGAAGTTCACATCAGATTTACAAAGAAAGCCATTAAAACACAAATATTGCAAGTGGCAAGAGAGAAAACATTGAAATACAAAGATAAGGAGATTGTTGTCTTGAAACAAGTACCCAGCAGTGAGAGAGATGAGAAGGTAAAACCGATTTCTGACCAAAATGCTACTTAAAAAAGAGGTGAATTATAGAAGGCTGATTCGAGAAGGTTTAATGTTTACGTGGCAAGAACAGAGATATAGAATTGACTCAATTGAGAAAGCTGAAGCATTTTACACAGAATTTTTCAGAGGGGAGGAAGAGGCAGAAAAAGAAATTTCACTAATTGAATTCCAAGAGGACTCCCAAATGACGACTGAAAAAGAAGGTGCAGTAGGTGAAAAGGAGGAAGCCAAAGAACAATGTGAACCTAGATCCACGAGAGCTGTTAAACCTAATTACAAAATATAACCATGGAAGAGAAAAAATTGATTACAATTAATATAAATGGACTTAACTCAGCCGTTAAAAGAAGGAAAATCTTTCATAAATTAGAGAAATTAAAATTTGATATAATCTGCCTACAAGAAGTACATATTAAAAAAACAATATGAACAATTGTTGATACAGCCAAAATTAGGGAAAATATTCACTTCCTTGACACAATGTAAGAAAGGAGGAGTGGTTTTATATATTAAAGAGACCATCTCAGCGAAATTGATTTATACTGATGACGACGGAAGAATATTAATGGTGGAAATAATGGACAATAATACGAAAACACTCCTGATTGCAATTTATGCCCCGAACGACAAACAAGAAGAATTCTATAAAAAATTACATATGAAAATAGTTGAACTGGACTATGTTAATATAGTTATGATGGGAGATTTTAATGGAATTGTAGACAATAAACTGGACTACACAGCATAGAAAACAATAAAGCAAAATAGAGACTTCCAGTTTGAAGGGCTTCGGTGACAGACAGGAATCCGTGATCGTGCGCAGTTTCTGCCTGGGCTCGCCGCTGGAGCGCCCCGAG